AATCCGATTATCCGTTTACACCAAATCCGAGAATCCGATTATCCGAATCATAATTCATAAATAAAATTAAACAGCAAACTAGTTCAAAAAAGAAATTAAACATAGCACCAAACATATTAATTGTCAAATGTGAAATGTCCAACACTCCAACAACAAGCCAACAACAAATTTAAATGCAATGTCCGTACAACATATAACCCAAAAGGTTGGTCTGCTTGACAAAAGAGCCTTCTATGGAAGAGCTATTCAAGGCCAAACAGCACTCCAATACCATTCTCAAACATACACCCAATTAGTTGTTCAAACGTCGTTCAGGAGATGCATGTGCGCGTGCGAGTTACCGTACCTTATTCGTAACGCACATACTATATCCACCAAAAGATTTCAGCAGTCTGACCTTTATAGGCACTCACAACCAAACTCGATCCCTGCGACAATTGTTCCATAGAGTGAGACATTACACTTGATCCAAAAGATGAATGAAAAACTATGGCAGGGAACAATTATATCATCAATAAGTTACCAGCGTGGTAGCAGAGATGCATTCCCCTGTAGTTGGTAACACTGACCATACATAATTTGACATGTTGAGGACGATAATGTCATCTTTACATCAGCAGAAATTGAATATAAGCCATAATTCATTAAATAAATAGAAATAGTTGTAGGAAGAAAAAAATATTGATATCTTTCTACCAGGGGTTCGACTGGCTCCATTGTAACCACCGACAATAAACCAGCTATCTCCAATTGTTGCACCTGCATGACCACAGCGTGGTCCTGGTATTTCCCCATGCTGCTTGGGTCTCGACCATTCCCACTACATGGGGGCAAGAGAGAAGAGTAAAACTGTGAACACGTCTAATTGGAAGAAGAAGAAAAAGCTAAGACGTGCCTTACTGTGTCAATATTTAAAACATGGAGATCATTAACGAACTCTGGATATTTAAGACCACCAAATATCAGGAGCTCGCGACGAGCCGTATGAACAGTAGCAGCATGATGTAACCTGCCTGCTGGAGGAACTCCTCTGTACAAAGAAGACATTACAACTATGTTATGATAAAAACAGAGACAATCATAAGCATTGCTCCCCTCAGTCCCCTTCATTCTAAGAAGAGATGGAAAAAAATTTCAAATTTATCTTTAGCAATGCAGTTAAATTTCAAAACTATACACCCTCTATCCTGAAATAAGTCCCTATTTCTTTTTTGGGACTTTCCAAATAAGAGTCCACTTTCCACATTTGAAAATGTTTTTGTGGTTCATACTCTTTGGCCTTCGCCTCAATTTTAACAACACAATTTCACTTTTCTTAATCTTTGCGCCGAGTATAACTTTTGGGTCAGCAGTACAATTTATATACTGACTAAAGATAAGAGGTGCTGTAATCAACATGTGTTGTAAACAAAACCAAGTTGTCAGCATTAAGTAAGAGTTATGCAACCCATCGCTTCAACCCTAGAAGAGGTTAAGCAGTAAACAACCGACTAAAGGACCAGTTTGAATGGCTCAAAAATGCAATGCTAGCATACCTAACCGGCGGTTTGCTCCATTTCCGGCTCACAAGATCAAGGACATGCAAATCATTCAATGGACAAATCCATCTTGCATCTTCTCCGCCAAATATCACTAGGCAATTTCCTAAAAGGTTCACATAATGACCTCCACGTGTTACCTGTAGGAACAAATATAACATAGCATTACTAATTTTAGACCCGGAGGAATACAAACAATATGAATGGTGACATAGATATTTTATTTTGTAGAATCTCTATGTTGATTCGTAATCTCTTGACTGAAACTATTATTATACCCAAAGAATTGTGGCAAAATTAGAAACAAGAACATCAAAATTGGTGCTATTACACTATTTTTATTGGGTATAATCAAAGGCATCCAATTACATTTCACATTTTCAGAGAGAGGGTCAAAATTGGTGTAGTTATAGGGCAGCAATGAGGATGTATGAAACCAAATTGACGTAGTTTGGGCACGTCTTATTGAGAATCATTGATGCCCCATGGAAGGTGTGGGGCGATGGCAGTAAAGAATATGAGAAAAGGAGAAGTAAGAAGAGTTACGTAATTAGACTGGGTTCGAATCTTTTGCAGCAAACCAAAACATGATCACACATAGGACCATTTAGAGGTCAAAGATGGTAGTAGTAGGATAGGCCCAGTTAGAGGCACCTCTTGGTGCGTACATCGTAACACAATGATTAGTTTCTAGAGCATGTGCGTGTGCGTTGGTTATGTCTTGCTCATAGGTGCAGGAAAGTATTAAGGGAATGAATGATAGAAACTGAAGAATGAACTCTCTCCTAATTCGCTCACAATAAGAATAGAAGAGGTAATAATAGCAAGGAGTATCTCTAATGCTCTTAAATGAATGATAGAAACTAAAGAATGAATTCTCTCCTAATTCACTCATACGCTACTATAGAGATGGACTAGCAATATTTATAATCTTGGAATACAAATAAATCATTTAATGTCCCTACTTTGTTGGCACTAACAAAAAGATAAGAATAGTTGATCATGACATGAAGAGAGGACCTATTATTGTGATCAGACTTGGCCAAACTTAAGCCCTTCTTGTGCGCCTTTAATAAGCATGCAGCACCATATAACTCCTCAATATTTGGAATAGGGTACTTATCAGGTATTTAAAGGAACACGTGAGACGAAGTTTATAGAATTGAAAAAAATATTTGAATGAGAGACTTGAGGATGATTCAAAAGTCGCAGAAGATTCAGAGATTGGTAGCATGTTCATGGACCTTGATATCCCATGGTTGCTCGTATAGCACATGATTGGTTAGTTGTACCAGTTTCTACCGTTGCATCAGAGTCGACATTGATGCATTTCGAACATCTTTAACCCCTAAGGTATTAACTAGACGCCTAAGAAGATTGATATTAAAGAAACACTTAATATATAACAAAATATTGACGCGTAAGAAGATTGACATTTATGCGTTTCGAACATCTATATTTTGACATATTTTTTTATATAACAAAATCATTTACTTGATATATAGTATTGACTTAAGTAGTTTTATTGTTGTTTACCATTTGTTTTGCTAGACATGGTGAACTTGAGTGTAGATGATTATATTAATTATACTATCGAGGTTTTAAGGTTTTAACATATGGGGTAAGATTACATGTTTATTATATATTTGCCTTGTAGTGTTAAGATTACCTTTACATTTTTTATTAGAGGTATAAAGGTTTTAACAGTGTTTTCTCTTTTTACATATTCGTCATTTGGATTTGGGACTTTGTGTACAAACCAAGGTGTAGAAAAGCAGGTGGCATTCATTAATGAATAACTTATGATTTCAATATTGAGTTCTTGTCATTTTGGACGTTTGATCCAAGCTAAAACCTTTGTTTTTTAAAATTTATTTTTCATTGGGAAGTAGTAATTCAGAAATAGGTCTTATTCAATCCAGTTCTGGGCTGGTCCGGGTATTACTGGTCCGATCTCGGTTCATTCTCAAAGTAATTTGATCCGGTCATCGGTCCTAGTGTAAGTGCTTATTCGGTCGTGGTCTAGTACGGTTTAAGACCAATGCACATCCTTTAACTATTTGGGTCAAAAGCAGTATTAAATATGGACCCTCAACGGTGCTCGACCATCTTTCAACTTGAGAGGTTGTTCTTGCAAACTCTAAGCGGTACTCCGGTGGACCATAGTTATCTAGGAATGCCATCACCAAATCTTCCCAATAAAACAACATTCTCTTAGTGCTCATCCATGAAAATAGGTCCAAAGCATCCCCTTCAAGGTACATGGGAGCCACATCCACCTTATCATCGTGTGGAATGATAGTAAAAGAAATACGTCTCTACTTTGAGGTCCCATCCTCTCGAGTCACCGCCTGCAGAAATTGGGAACTCAGTTTTTGCATGGGATAAACTTGAAGCACGTCGAGATCATTCCTATTCCTCATCACTATCATCTGCCTCATTGTGTTGTTTCCCTTTTCCACTTACGATTTATGACGAGATGAATTTGATTCCACAACCGTCACCTTTTCTTGCAAAACATCTAAAGCTGCCAAACAAAAGGCAATTATCTTCTGGATTCGAGTTAGTATTAGATGAGCGTGTGACCACCATATATGCCAGAAAAAGGCTTGGATACCAATGAAAATTAGACATATGTAATCAATAGCATATATCTCTAAAAATAAAAATTAGTCACAAGTATTTTGTAAAAATTTCAAAATCATAGTTAAAAAAACCATTTTCATGTAATTAATTTTATGCCAAATAAATGTAATTTAAAAAATAAAACCAAACACGTAAAAACCATTTTCGGTCATTGCAAAATAAAACCAAACACTGATAACATAAAATCAATGGTCTTGTGGAAAACAACCCCTCTACCTTGTCGGAAAGAGGTATATGTTTGGTTTTCTGTTATGGACTGCAGCTAAACTTTGTTCGCCCAAGTGATAGAAAGTACGATGCATATAATTACACTATCAGGTAACAACACATTCATGTATTCACTTCCCTAGTAAGTGTGCAAATCTAAGTACAAAGGGTGGAAGGTACATACCGGTGCATCTCCTGAAGTCCTGAAATCTAACCAACAATTGCTGTGCAGATCAAATTCTTTCACTGGCATCACAAATTAACCAGATACTGAGAAAGCAGAATACATAAACAATGTTCAAAAGCAAGATAGAAACTCGATGAACTTCATCGAGTAGGGGTTTTCTCTCTCTAATGCAATGGCGAAGAGGAAGGGAAGGCCAAAGAAAATCGATGAACTTCATCCAGGAGGAAAGCACGGTGATCGTCAGGAGTCACCACACACCAATATTCAGCGGAAGGATACACAGAGCAGCTCTAAGGGATCTCCAGAGATTAGCGATACTCCTGTACCTAAGGATGGGGACCGAACCCTAGACCTTGAACGATCTGACGAGCAGAATTTGGGTAAGGTCAAGCCCAAATCATATGCGGAAGCTGTGGGAAAGCCAGAAACAGTGGATTTAAGTTTGGAATTTGTGCAATCTATGGAGGTGAATGGAATCCAGGTGGCAAAATTCACCAAGGAAGACATAGTGGAACAATCCAGGTATTGGGACTCTACGATGATTCTCTGTGTCTTGGGCGCAAATCCACCAATTGATGTTATTAAAGGTTTCATTGCAAGACTGTGGAAAATGTTCCCTATAGAGGAAGTGTCTGTACTTAAGGAAGGACAATTTATTGTCAAGTTTCAAAAATAGGAAGATAGAGATGAAGTGATAAAAAGGAAGTACTATTTCTTTGATAAGAAACCAGTCCTAGTGCAGAAATGGAAGCCTGGAAACAAGGTGGATATCACTGATCTCAAGGATATCCCTATTTGGATACAATTCCCAGATCTTGAGATGAAGTACTGGAGTGCATCGGGCCTGAGCAAGTTGGGAAGCCTTATTGGAAGACCTGTAAAAAGAGACAAAGCTACTGCCAATGGGATGAAGTTTGCATTTGCAAGGATCCAAGTGGAGGTAGGGGTGTATCAGGATTTCCCAAAGCAGATTAATTACATTGATGAAGAAGATAGGGTCATAACCCAGATGGTGACCTATGAGTGGTATCCTTGTATGTGCTACCATTGTAAGAAGATAGGGCATGAGCAGGAGTATTGTAGACTGAAAGATAAAAAACAGGAGAAACAGGAGCCAAGGAAAATGGTATGGAGGGTCAAGAAGGATAAAAGTGACCAAAAACAGGATAATTTTGAGATAGAAACTGATATAGAGGAGCATAAAGAGATTACCAATGAAAATAACCCAGAAACCCTAGACCAAGATGGGTTTACTGAGGTTAGTGGGAGGAAAGCCGCAAGGAAGTTGGTATTGGAGAATAAAGAAGTGTGTGATGAGAAAGGATTGAACAAAATACTGAGTGAGGTTCCTTACTCAGGACATTACCCCTTTCTTAAATGATTAGTAGTTGGAATGTAAGAGGACTGAACAGTCCTAATAAGCAGACTGAAATCATGAAGTTTGTCAAAAATAATGATGTGGTTTTATTTGGGATGCTGGAAACTAAAATAAAGGATAACAAGTTTAAAGAAGTGGAAGGAAGAATGTTCAAGAATTGGGGATCTTTCATCAATAATACAGTTCATCACATGGGCAGGATTTGGGTAGTTTGGAACCTCAATAAACTCATGGTCCAAATACTTGAAGTTACTGACTAGCTGGTTAGCTGTAAATGCAGGAAAGCAGGAAATGATATGGAGTACTTCATCACTTTTGTGTATGGACATAATGATCCCAGTAAAAGGAAAGAGCTATGGAGGGAGATAGGTAACATAGCTAACCACATGAATAAACCTTGGTGTATTATGGGTGATTTTAATAATGTATTAGGTTTTGACGAGAGAATTGGAGGCAGCCCAGTAACATGGGAAGAGATTAAGGACTTCAAAGAGTGTGTTCAGAGTAATGGACTGGAGGATCTCCCCGCTGAGGGAGCTCAATACACATGGTCCAATAAACAAGGCCCAGGCAGAAGGATCTACTCAAAAATAGACAGGGCTTTAATCAATATCGAATGGACCGTCCAGACTCTGACAAAGTTACAGGTCAGAGAGGTAGGTCTATCAGATCATACACCCCTTATAATCAAGGTGTGGGAGCAGGACAAGCGTGGTAAAAGGTTTAAGTTTTGTGATATGTGGACTTTGGATCCCAACTTCCATATCTTGGTAAGGGAGAGCTGGGATCAACATAACCAAGGAAGAAGTATGTACCAGCTGGTCAGGAAGATGAAGAATTTAAAGACTTCACTCAAAAAGCTAAATAGGGAGAGGTTTGGAAATATTATCCAAAAGTGTGACATAATTAGGGAAGAACTATTCTCTATTCAACAGAAGATTAAGAAGAGTATTAATAATGAGTCACTGATCAACAAAGAGAAACATTTGATCCAACAACTGAATTGGAATTTGAAAGCAAACTATCTACTGAAGTGTCAACAAGCAAAGCAAGAATGGATTCTTGAAGGTGATCCAGACTCCAGGCTATTCCATGCATGGATTAAAAGGAGACATATTCAAAACCACATCACTGCAATATATAACAAGAAGGGAGAGATGGTTGAAGGCAAGGATAATGTGGCTAGGACTTTGATGGAATACTACCAAGAGATCCTAGGGACTACAGTATGGACTAAAAACATTAAAGATGAGATTATCAAAAGAGGAAGGGTTTTGACAGTGGAACAGCAGCTGAACTTGATAGCCCCCATCCCCCCAGAACTGATTAAGAAATACATATTTGAGATCCCTAACTATAAAAGTCCAGGACCGGATGGATTTAGCAGTGGGTTCTTCAAGAACCAATGGAGCTTAGTGGGGGACTTGGTTACACAGGCAGTAATGGAGTTCTTCCAAACAAGCACTACCCTTAAAGAGCTAAATGCAACCATCATTACCCTCATTCCTAAAGTAGATTGTCCTAAAGGCCCTGCAGACTTCAGACCTATCTCGTGTTGCAACGTGATTTACAAGGTCATATCAAAAATAATCTGTAGTAGATTGAAAGAGGTCTTGGCATATATTGTTGATCAAAACCAAGGTGCTTTCATTTCGGGTAGAGATTTGGTCCACAATGTCTTGGTTTGTCAGGAATTGGCTAGAGGCTATAAAAGGAAGGGGATATCCTCCCAATGTATGATGAAACTTGATATCAAAAAAGCATATGATTCTGTTAGTTGGAAGGCGATGACACAAATCCTGCAAGCCATGAAGTTCCCACCTAAATTCATAGAGTGGATTAATTTCTGTGTGACAAATACAGCATTCTCAATTCAACTTGATGGTGAAATGTTTGGGTACTTTAAGGGAGGGAAAGGACTCAGACAAGGAGATCCCATATCACCATTGTTATTTGTGGTGGTCATGGAATATCTCACAAGGACTCTCCATCACTACGCTGATCTGAAGAGGTTTAAATTTCATCCCATGTGTAAGTCTTTGAAGCTGATTAATTTGGTTTTCGCAGATGATTTGATTGTGGTGTGCAAGGCAGATGAGGACTCTATTAAGGCTGTATTGAGTGCACTGGACCACTTCAAAGAGGTTACTGGCCTACACATAAACACTGAAAAATCTCAGATTGTTATGGGTGGATTGAACTTAGAAACAGAGAATAGATTCTTGAGACTAACTAAAATGACTAAAGGGGAATTTCCGTTCAGATACCTAGGCTGTCCCATCACAGCTGCAAGGATTGGACAGAGGGAATGTGATAGGCTTGTTGAAAAGCTTACCACTAAAATCAGCTCTTGGGTGACTAAGCAACTTTCATACACGGGTAGGATAAGACTTATAAACTCTGTGCTGTTTGGTATTGTCGCCTTCTGGTCTAGAATGTTTATCATTCCAAACAAGGTCATGAAAAAGATTCAAGACGTATGCAGGAACTTCCTCTGGGGCTCTTCACCCATGTACAAGAGATGTCCACTTGTGGCATGGGAGGATATCTGTCAGCCTAAGGCCAATGGGGGGTTAGGCTTGAAGAACTTAGTAAAATGGAATAAAGCTAATGCTATGCAGCTGATCTGGGATATAGCCAACAAAAAAGATATCTTATGGGTTAGATGGATGCACCATAGGTATCTAAAGCAAAGCACAATATGGCAGTATAAAGGAAGTGGGGACAAATGTTTCTACTGGAAAAAACTATTGAAGGTGAGGGAAGAGTTTAAGGCCATGCCTGTGAAGGGAGATTATACTATTCAGGAAGGCTATAAGTGGGTTATGGGAGAGAGATCTAAAGTGGCATGGGCTAATACAGTTTGGAACAATTGGACCCAGCCGAAACACCAAATAGTGGCTTGGCTAATCTGGAAAGGGAGACTACAAACAAGAACCAAGTTGAGCAAATTCATGCAACTGGATACTAGATGTGGAATATGTGAGAGGTATGAAGAGGATCTGGACCATTTGTTTTGTTCTTGCCAATGCGCCACGGAAGTGCTTAGTGAGGTATTTAAATGGATGGGAATGGACATTAATGTTCATACACTAAGAGAGGTGGAGAAGATGATGGATGCTTGCAAGAGTAGGAAAGAAAGAAAGCTAAGGGAAGCAACATTCAACGCTTGTTGTTATGCTATATGGAGAGCTAGAAACCAGATTATCCATGGGAAAGAACCCATCTCGGCTAATGAGTGCATTGAATACCTTAAATTCCAAGTTTATACTTTTGTAATTCCTAAATCTAAGTAGCAATAGGGAGAATGATTGTTTAGCCGAGAGCTAAGTTTGTATTGATTCCTATGGAATAAAAATTTGCATTTCGTTCAAAAGATAGAAACTTGTCCATAGTAGATATCCGAGAGGAGCAGTTTGATTGATCTGAAACCAAGCTTCCATCAATGGCCAAACATAGTTGGAAAAGGGTTTGAAAATGATGTGATGCAGATATACGTAACAAAGCAGTCTTCAAGACTTTAAACTATGCCCATTTACAAAACAGCAGAGTTGTTAAAAGAAGGTGATGAAGAGTACTAACCAATGACGGGCCAGGATGACCGACAATAGATCTAGAAAGAATCCACTTGTGATCCTCATCAACAAGCTTTGACCAAGACCAATTTTTCAAGTCTAGAACCTACAACAAAATGGTTCAGTTTCATGAAGCTAAGCAACAAAATTTAGAGCAAGTCAGTACCATTGTTAACATAGGCAATCGAACACAGACAAAGCCACAGCCATAGAAATAGGTAGAAAACCCTTACCTGAAGATCGCCCAGAAAACACCCCTTACCCGCATAGATTCCTTTAGTCATGTAACTTCTCCGGGAGGGGTCCCGGAGACTGGCGGTACAATCCATTGATCGTCACCAGCAATTGAGCCAGTAGTATCTTCTCGTCTACAGACCTTCTTCTTCTTCTTCTTGCCACCGCTTAGTCTGCTGCCTTGTTGCTTCCTCTTCGTGTGCCGCGGCATCTCCAAGAGCCTTAGTCTGACTAGGTGCTTCCTCTTTGCGTGTCGCAGCATCTCCCCGAGCATGGGCAGGGTTGGGGTTTAAGATTGGGAAATATGAGGTTTTATTAAGCCAGAGGACATGACTATAAATGAAGGACACACCTTTTTATTGGTAGAGGCTAGACCCCATCACGGACTCGAGTATCCAGCCTGCCCGCAAAAGAGCGTATTTGAGCTTGACATTTTAGGGTATGAGTCGGGCTTGGGCCTTATAAATGGCAACTCAAATATTTTAGAGTCGGGCTCAAATTTCATGCTCAAGCCCGCAGGCCGGCCTAGCCCGAATGAATTAAAATATTTATTACAAATGTAATTATAATAAAGTAACAATAACAACATTAATAATAACAAAAAGAACAATGCTATTTCAAATTATTATACACACACATACATACTTCTATTGAGAAAAAAGTAAATTATAGTATATTTAATAAAATGAATACATCTTTATCACTCCGTATTATTTACAACGTTTCACACATTGATTTTGGTATTCCAATAATACTATGTACTCCGTACATAGTAGCAATATCCAACAAAACATATTTTATATATTAGTTCTTTCATTCACTCGTTATAGTTATTATATCAAACATCTAATATATTAACCCATTAGTTTAAAAAAATTGCTTTTAAAATTATTTAGAAGTTTTTGTCGTGCGAACCAGGCCAGCTCGAAGCCAACAAATCCCATGCGATCTAGGGCTTCAATTGTTAGACCCGCTATAAGGGTCAGGTCGGATTCAGGCTTAAAAAGTTCTCGTAATGTAACGTCTCGGCCGACCCCAAAATCCGGACCGGCCCGCACTTTGATCAAGTCTAGTAAGAGGAGTAGAGGCGTAGAGTTGCAAGATTGACTTTTTAATCGCTTCGTTTGATCTATTATTAATCCTACAAAGGCTGATTATGATTTTTGCAAATACTCCTCTCCAAATTTAAAAAATTGTTTTGAACCTTGTAAACTTTATAAATTTTCTTTTCAGTCCTTTTAAAGAGTAAATTCCAAAATAGTCTTTTGTAATAAGGTGTTTTCGGAAATCAGTTCTCAATAAGTTTTAATTACCTACGTAGTCCTATATAATTAAAATGTATTCCCAAGATGGTCTATCGTAAATAATGTTACTCAAATGTGAATTAATTGAGGGTATTTTGGTATTTTTTTTATCCGCTAAATTTAAAATTAATTCTTAAAATGATCATTTATAATAAACTACTTTCCCAAAATGGTTTTTTCTAACTAAAGATGTGTATTTGATTTGAAATTTAAAAGATTATAAGTTTTAAATAATTCATGAATTATTTATAGTTAATGTATTTTTTTTAATTTTACATTGTACAGAAATAACTGTTTCGAAAATATACTTTAAATTTGGAAGATCAAAATACCAAAATATCTCCCAATTAATCATCATTTGAGTAGCATTATTTACGAAAGAATATCTTGGAATAAATCTCAATTATAGAAGACCATGTAGGTAATTAAAACTTATTGAGAATTGAATTGGGATAACACCTCATTACAAAGAACCATTTTGGGAGTTTACTCCGTTTTGAAATTCTTTTTCTGCATCCAATTCTAAATTTAAATTAATAAATACTCCTCTCTTGATTATCTTATTCTTTTTATTCAAGATTTACTTGATTACAAGGTCAAAATCAATGAAATATTTTTAAAAAATCGGTCAAATATGTACATTTTTACGATACATTTAAAAAATTTATTAATTAATACTTTAATACTTAGTAAAAATATCTTTGGCTAAATTAATACTAGATTTCTACGTGTAATTTTTAGTATAATTTGTCAAATTTGACTTTTAGCAAACGAGTCACTGAAAGGCCCACCTTGCACCTTTTCAATATATATCATTATATCAATATGTATTTATAATATATAAAATATTTGCATCTGATATGAACGGTGATTAGCATATCTAATTAATTAATGGTTAATTAGTATTTATCATAAGGTTTAGAGTTTTAGTATGAGCTCGAGTCCATTAAGTCAATTATGGTGTTCTCTTCTCTCTATATATTTTAACCATGTATCATTATTATTCTATGAATATACAAGAATTACTCTTAATTTTCTTCCTCTTTTCTTGGGAGCTCAGAAATGCTTGAAAATTTCTTTTTCTATCCTCTCTTCTTCTTGAAGCCTGAATGACGCTCGAAATTCTTCCCTCTCCGATAGGATATTCGCATCAACATCTAATATTCTATTTCATACTATAATGAATATAATATGATTTTTACATCATACAACATTATAATATGAATAAAATATTTGCATCTCTTATTTTTTTATGTTATAATAAATTGTTGAATAAGTGTGTTACATTTTTATATATACTTATATAATGTGGGCGAGTGTGCCAGCCCATGCGGGCCAAACCCAATGTCCAAGCCCATCCATATTATCTTGCGGCCAAGTTTGGGCCGGATGGATTTATATAGTTATCTATATCCGCCCATTTTTAAGGGCGGGATAGTCAGGCCAGATGGGCCGACCCGAGTTTGTGCAGGTCCACTTGTAATACAAGAAACTATCAGTCTAGAACTCGAAACTTTTTTGGTCTTGTTTCTTTAATCAACGTCCACTTCAAATGATCTTTTGACATGCCTTGAGTTTGTTCAATATAAAGTTGTTATCTACGGCAACTTGTGAATATCAAAATTTACACAACATGGCATTAGCAAAATGTCAAAGACAATGTATTAAAACAATCTCTTCATTTTTGATATTGACAAACAAAAACAAATGAATCAAAAGAAAAATAGCAATCTTAAGTCTTCTAGAAAATGTGTTGCATATCCTTTTACTTGTTTTTTGCATTAGCAAAAAGAATTACAACAGCAACAACAACATGATCTGAAGAGTATATATATATATATACACACACACACACACATATATATAGACCTTATCTCTATTGAAAGTAAAGAGACTATTTTCAAGAGACCATCTCAAACAACACAGAGACAACTAGCACATTAGCAAAAGGAATCTCAAACAACAAAAAGACAACTAGCACATTAGCAAAACGATTGATTGATTTAAAAAAAAATATTCATCAAAAACCAAAAAAGAGGAAATTACACTTCATAAAAATAAAGAAGTGCTTAAATGTAATGAAAACATACAATAAAAGGTGATGAAATCTAGAAAGATGGGATTTCTCCTTCGGAGCTCACGAACTCAGTTCCTTGTTCCTCCACAGTCACTACATTGTGTTCCTCATCAGGTTCTCCTCCGAATTGAATGCCTCAGTGAGTGCGTCGACGTGGCCGCACCAGAGGGGGTCATAGTTGACGCAGGCACAGTACTCACATGTTGTCTCCCCTTGATCATAGATAGCCCCGTCTACTTGGTTTATTGTCAAGGACAAGTGACAAATGGAATCTGTAATATAATCAAGAGTAGCTCACATACGTGCCTCTTGGGCTCGACGTGGAGCCTCGGAAGCATTAGCCCTTTTGGGTTTTGAAGGTGTGGTCGTCAATGACCCAATGCTTCGTAGCTTTGACATGTCCGATAAAGACATTCACGGAGAGGCTTGGTGTTGGCAATAGAGGTGAAGTCGCTAATGTGGATCTACAACCTTGTGCCAATTCATGGGAACCCATAAGCCTCACCTCATCGACCTTCATCGTGATATGGTTATAGTCACGTTGGTCCAATTTGGACCACCATAGTTACTTGAGTCGACGCCCATATAAGGGAGATAGGAAATGGACCCAAGTAAGCTCTTCCACTTTGTAGCTCTTCCAATTTGGACCACCATAGTTACTTGAGTCGACGCCCAAGTTGATTTCCATGAGTTCCCCGTTGACGAAGGAGTAGAGAATGTCGCCCTCACGACGAAGATTGAAGTAGAATGCTCATACTAAAATCGGGTTGAAGGACTTTACCTTCCACGAGCAAAACCAAGTTAGTTCCACTCTTTCCAGGCTCTCTGAAAGAGTGTTGCAGCCCTTTCTGCTAAAATACTTGTCAGTGAGGTTGCGAGGAGGAACGAAATCTCGCGCAACAATGTGTATGTGGAAGCAGGTAAGCTCTTCCACTTTGTAGAACTAATGAACTTTCCTATTGCCATAGAGAAATGTGGGTTCTTCTTACTCAATTTAGGTTGTGGTTTTCTTTTTCTTGGATGCCATGCGAGTAGGGGCACTACATTTCTTTGAGTTATCACGGGTCATTGCCTAGCTTTTGCAAAAGAGAAAAGACTGATTTATAGGCACACTTTAGGGTACGAGTCGGGCTTAGGCCTTCTTATAAATGGCACCTCGAATATTTTAGAGTCGGGCTGAAATTTTATGCTCCTGCCCGCGGGTCGGGCCTTGCCTGAATGAATTAAAGAAATATCAATATATTAGTTTTTGTCGTGCGAATTGGGCCAGCTCGAAGCCAACGGATCCCATGCGAGCTCGAGCTCGGGCTCTAATTGTTAGAGCCGCTATATGGGTTGGGTCAGATTCAAGGTCAAAAAAGTTCTCGTAATGAAACTTTTCAGCCCGACCCGAAGTCCGGCATGGCCCACACTTTGATCAGGTCTAGTAAGAGTAATAGAGGCGTAGAGTTGCAAGATTGACTTTTTAAACGCTCCGTTTGATCTATTATTAATCCTACAAATGTTGATTATTATTTTTGCAAATACTCCTCTCCAAATTTAATAAACTATTTTGAACTGTGGACGGAAATATGAGAGCTCACTTTAGCTAGCTGGGCAAGCAACACCAATTTCTTTTCTCAATGTATTTCACTGTTTACTGTTCCCTCTATTCCGTTATTAAAATATATACATTGTCTAACCCGGCCTTCTCTCTATATTTGCTTCAATCTCCTTCACTCTCTGTCCCTAAATTCATACACCTTTAAATCACACTCTTCTCTATTTTGTGAAAGCTATGCAATGACCCGTGATGGCTCAAAGAAACATAGTGTCCCTACTCGCATGTTATCCAAAAAAAGAAAACCACAGCCCAAATTGAGCAAGAAGAACCCACATTTCCCTACGGCAATGAGAAAGTTCTTTAGTTCAACAAAGTGGAAGAGTTTACCCGCTTCCACATACACTTTGTTGCGCGAGACTTCGTTCCTCCTCGCTACCTCACTGATATCTATTTTACCAGAAAGGGCTACAACACTC